TCTACCAGCTCTACTTCTTATTGTTACCCTGTTGTGAGAGAAGAGAAATAAACTCAATTGGAATCAGAGCAGCTCAAAGGATAAAACCTTGTCTTTGTACTGGGACTGGAGCTATAAGAGGAAGTGTTCTAAAGCTGCTCCTCCCATAAAGCTAAAGATAATGGGGTTTTTGTCTACTTATCCATATTGCCAGCAGTTGCATTCTTTATGAATTTTAGTATTAAAGGATGAGTGATTCAGGAAGTTACAGGCAGGTGTAACTTTTGGTCTTGCTAGTAATCTTGGTTTGGTCTTTGCCAAGGAGATCCCAAATTTCCACAGGAACTTTGTTGCCTTTTTTTTTTGTCTTTCCTTTTTCCAGTCACTTGACTTTAAACGTTCAAATTATGAAAACAGAAATCAGAGGATTTCTTCTGTTATTAATTCCACTTTCAGTGTCTAGCAATAGTGCTATGTTAATGATGACAAAGACAATTCAGGAATTAGCAGACTTTGGTTTGTTTGCAAAAGTCTACATGATGTGTTTATTTCCCAGTCTCTCTCATATTCATGTTTCAGAAGGATGTAAATAATAATATACTGCTGTCAAAAATCTCTACTTTGCTATTTCGATCCATTTTTCTATTTTTTTCATTCTATAAATTGGTATTCATGTTTACAGTGTCAAAAGATCACAAAACTCAGTGACACAGCAGTTTACCACAAGTGGAATTGAAAACATCCCTTGTCTGAAGTGCTACATGAAGATCTGACCAGACCAGAGATATTATGTCCTTTCCCCAAAGTTTCCCGGACTATCAAGAAGAATGTACATTGTAACAAAATCCACTTGATACAACCAGATGGGACTTCATTCTTAATAAGGAGATGGAGGAATTTTTGTCTCCCTGTAGAGATTTATATAGTCCACTTAGCAACAGCAGCTGCAAAGACCTGCTGACAGCATCTTCCCATTCATCGCTGATCCAGTAGATTGGAATCAGTGAAGAAAAAAAATACGTGAAGGTCAGGAAAAGCTTATTAAGGCATTAAGACATGAATAGTCTTTACAAAATCTTAAGTCTTAATTGCTGATGAAGCAGCTAATTATCCTCGACATCAAACTTGCCAGCGTATGTAATCAACTTCAGCAACAGAATTCCAACAGTATCTATCTTTGCCTCTCTCACGCTAGGTATGAATGGCATACCAAGGTTTTTAAGAAAGAGTTCGGATCATCTGTTGGTGTGAAAACCTGCTTTTACAAAGCTAACATGAACAGATGGGCTCCAAAGTCCTGCAGATTGCCAGACTCTAAGTAACAAAATAAGCAGAACAAAACACTAAAACAAACCAAAAAGCCCAAGCAGCCACAGAAACCCACTGTACCAAAGGAAAAAGCATTCCTGAAAATTACTTTTATTCTTATTTTCAGTGACTGCAGAGATCTGGGTAGGAATCTTCACAACCGTATTCATACTAATAGATTACAGGAAGGAGACAGTTGCAACTGAGCAATTTGTGAAAGAATTAGGCTTTTCTTCCCAAGGGAACACTCAGTAGTTCCAAGTATCATTGACCATACTGATAAAATGAGACAGCCGTTACTATCAATGTGGTTGAAAAATTTGATATAGAAGGAGCATGAAGAGCTTGGAAAACGTTTCACATCAAGATGACTTTCTCTGCTCACAAAAACAGTAGAAGCACAGATGAAATTGATACTAGTATCTTAATCAAGACAGATGACACTGCTGAGGCATCTACAAACACAAACGACAGGCTTCAAATGAAGAGAGGAGGAAAAAAAACCCCAACCAAACAAAATACCCGGTAGAACAAAAGAGTTTCTCAATGGTTAGAAACATCACAAAAGTAAGGAAGGTGCTGGACATTTTAATTAAGGTGAGCTTACACAAGTCTTAAATACTTTTTTCATGTCCCCTTGTAAATTACTGTCCTTTACAATTAATGCAGTTGATGCTGAAATGCCAGACTTTGATATCTATGGGAAGTATAAGCAGAAGGAGCTCCTGTACAGGGAAGCTGAAGCCAAAGGACAAGGTGATAGAATATTTAATCCTTCCCAAAAAACTTAATCCTATCCTTATCACAAAGGGTAAAAGGAAAAAAGAAAAGAAAGCAGCCAGAAATTTAAAGTTATTTATATTTAAAAGTTATAAGGAAGAAAGGACTAGATTATAAAGTCATTTATAGATAACTTTTAAATTTTGGAAATTTTTTGCTCACTATTGCAAGATTACCAGAGTAACAATGGCAGAGAAAAATACGTATACACAACAGAGAAATAAGACCTGTGCAAATGTTATATATCATAACTATCCCCATAGCCCATGAGATTTTCAAGGCCATGGACTAAAACTGTAACGTGGTCCTTAAAATAGGACTTGATTTTTAACTAGTAAGTGAATAGGACTCTATTTGCATTTTTTGGTTGCACACCGTTTCATAACACACACACACACAAAACTTTAAAGTTTAAAATGGCAATTTTACAGCCAAATTTTCTTCTTCATTCTTCTTGCATAGATTCAATCACTGATACTAACAGCTACATTAATCACTCTTAATTTTCCTTCCCAAGAGCAGCTGCCCTCAAGGTGCAATCTACTAAAACAGCTCTTGACCTATTTGTTCCCTAATGCTTGCTGCTGTAACGGCTCACCTGGGACAACATACCCCTCTTTCTGCAATATCTAATCACCAAACTTTACAGTTCTTACAAGACTAACACATAGTAGGTTGCTTAATCACAGGAGAGACACCTCATTATCTCACAGATAAGGAAGACAAAACCAGGTTAGATTTTAGATTACTTCTGCTGGACCTGACATGAATGACATTTAAAACCAAAAGCAGTTTCAATATTGTGCAAGCAAGACTTTAAAGAAAAGAGTATTCAAGTTCTAGATGGGGTATAGATTTTCAAGATCGCTCTTTCTTCACTGTGTAAGAGCATGAAGAAGTTGAAGGTATATTTGAGTGAAACTTTAAAAAGAAATTAGCATGGAAAGATAATAAAATCTATTACAGAATCTAAAGTACCTAAAGAACTGCTATTTTTTATGTCTAAAGATAAACAATAAAGAGGCAATGAAAGAAACATATAATTATCATAGAATCATAGAATGGTTTGGGTTGGAAGGGACCTTAAAACTCATCCAGTTCCAATCCCCCTGTCACTGGCAGAGACACTTTCCATCAGACCAGGCTGTTCAAAGCCTCATCCAACCTGTCCTATTATATAATGGTTTCTTGAAAACAAACCTTTCTACATATGGAGAAGGAATTCTGCTCCCACTAGACATACTTAGCCTAAGGTCCAAAACCAATACTACAAAATGGAAGTTCTGTACAGATCTGTCCTAGGAGAACCCTGTTACCTTACATTAAAAATGAGCCTATTTTAATGCAAGATTAAACATGACTATTTTGCTACATAACAATTCTATCAAATAAGTACCAACAGAGAACATAAACAGCATGCGTATGTTTTAACAACAAATAGATGACATTTATGTCACCATGCTGTTTAAAGCAACAACACATTCATACACCTAGCAGGTCTCACCCAAAAGCTTTAAAGGCCTTCAATTTTTCTCCAGTGCAAGGTAGGTATTAGAAGCCATCAACATGACTGATATAGATCTAAATAAGAAAATGTACCATTCTACACACATTCTAAAGTGGTGGAAAAAAGCAAGCGCATTGTGTTTAAAGGCTGTCCCTACTCCATCAGAAATACAGGCTAGAATCCCTAAAAGTAATGCAGCAGCTGAAGGAAAAAGCACTACTTCATGTACACCACACTCAACACATGTATAACAGTTTAAGAAAGGAACAGAAAAATATTACTGTCAATAAACAAAATGCAGTGTGTTGTAAGTAGAAACAAACAAGAAAGAAAATATCAAGAGATGTTGTAACTTTAAAAGTATCATCAGCACAACTTTCAATTATAAGAAGCACTCTACCAATTTCAGATTAAGCCCTTGTGAGCAAGTACATGAAAACAGCCAAATCACATCATAGGGAAAAAATTTCTTCTCTCTAAATATATACAGAATCCTGAAGACAACAATTTAAACTTATGTTTCCTTACTGGGCTATTTTACTCTTTATATAGAAAAATAACACACAGTTTAACAGCAGATATGCTACTACCAAAAAGTTATGCATTTCAAACATTCTAAATTTTGTAAGCTAACATGTTTTTTTAATAGCAATAGTTCTAAACTTGTGTATTTTTAAAAGCCACAGTTAATGTAATCTTAAAGTTTGTTCTTAAGACGACAATTGCCATACTTCAAGTATGAGAAGTATCTTCAACTTTCTGTATGTTTAGTTTGTTCCAGTAGTCTATTTTGATGAACAGGCAACACTGATTCATTTTGAGACATACAGAGTTAAGGGCAAAATAGTAAAAGTGCTGAAAAAATTAAGTATGATACCAGAAGTGCTTTAATTGCCAAATATTAAAGGTTTCAGAACAATGAAAATCTGAGAGTTTCTACGAAAGAAAATTTGCAAAACTCTTCAGTCATAGAAAGAACTAGAGAAATTGAAGACATGGGACATGGTAGCTGCAGATTTCTAAGTATGAGACCTAGTCATGAGATACATTAGCACTCAGAGTAACTAATTACTATTACAAGCAACAGCCTGGGTAAAACAAAGCTTTACCTTTAAAATACTTCTTGTTTTACCTACCAAAAAACATTACATGGATACTATGACAATTGATTTCTAAATAGATTATACTCACAGCAGATGAACATCTCTAATGATTAATTTGTGCAAAAGTAGATTTTAGATTTCTCAAATTGCAACAAAACTCAAAGACTCATTACGGCAGAAAAAAAAATGTCCTTAAAACAAAAGTTGGTATGATCTAGAAAATATCAGAAAGAACCAGACATCTTTATTCAGTATTCTAATAATTTAAATTGCACTTCATAACATAAAGCTTACTTAAACATGATCTTTTCCCAGCTGTGCTTGCCCCTCCTGAACATAAATTGCCTCCTCGATGGACCAGCTCTAGTTCCAAGTTTGTTCTGCAAGAAAAACATAACTGTGTTGAATGGAACAGAATTATTCAAGCTTCTACAGACATAAAAGAGTCACCACAGATTTCCAGCCTCCACTAAGTAAAAGAATCCTGTGAACTAATCTTTAGTCTGAGATACTACCAAAATATGACTCAGAGTAAAACTAGCTTTATCAAAATATTGCCATTTAAGATTTTTAAGTGTTGTGATTAGCAAGTACTATGTTAAAAGCGCTGCTACAGTTGTGACTGATGAATAAATAAATGTTAATTCTGACGCTTTTTTCTGTATACACACACAACTCCTTGATAATAAGGGAATTTATGTGCAAATCTGTAACGACAACATACAGATTGGCTAAATTTCAATCAATCAGATATGTCTAGAAAGTGTTCTCTTTATTGGTAGGAGTCTTGTTTTGCTTTAAACAAACAGACAGTACAATGGATATGCCATCAAGTAACTAAGTATGAAAACAGCCTGAATTATAATGGAAGCACTGACCTTTATAGATAAGTTGGTTAATAAAAGCCTTGGAGGTTAATTCTGAATGAAACACTGGTATTCACTGCAGCTCATTAGTATGAAACAGGAGTTGTGTCATTAAATCCCTGCATGTCACACTGATGTTTGCTTTCTTAGTATTATTGTAATCTGATACTTAAGCACCAATTGTTTAGGCCAAATTCAATAGCTTTGTTTAATTTTGCAATTGGATTTTTCAGTACTGCATTATCTTCTACCCCCAAGACTTGGAGCAAACAATTTATGTTATGTTCTCCGAGAGCTGTTTTAATAAGTCAACATACAATTCTTTAATTAAAGGAATATAATTCTATTATTCTGAAATGCTATTTTGCTACTTCAATCCAAACTGCAAAGCTCAGTCTAAACTTATTTTGTCCTTCAACTAAGAACTGAACAATTTTAGGTTCAATATAATGCAACCAAGTACATGTTAAAAAACTATTCTAGTATTTTAGGCACATGATGTAGTTAAGATAAGAACACACACTCACATACTCTGAAGAAGAAACTACAGGATGACTATTTTATTCAAACTTTTTTTTTTTTTTTTTTACAAACTTCAGCTCCATCAGCTTGAAAGAACAATACATTCTTGATATGCAGTGTTTGTTAAGATACTTTCAGACAGTTTTTAAAATAGTAACATTTCAGAATATTACTATCCCTAAATTTGCAGCTTATGCCACCCATTTCTGAAGGAATGCTTTAATCCTCTCTACTCAGAAAAGGCAATTTAACACTGATAATGTGCCTGCTCAGAGCTCCATCTGGTTGCTGCTGATAAGGGCATCTGTGTGACAGGGGAATTTTCCACTCTTCAGGCGATTTGCAGTGCTCACTGAACTTCTAAAAATCTACCAGCAAGGAAGCAGGGAGAGGGATTCCATATTAGTGGACAAAATAGCAACTGTAGATCAGCATGTGCTAGTTCATCACGGGAATATAAAGGAAACCATGTATGTTTTATTTCTACAAACCTTTTGATAACTAATCTGTAGAAAAATTAATGGCAGCTTTCCATTAAACCAAGATAATTAAGATTTAAATCAAAAACACTACCAGAATGTCAAAGAATAACTTCCTAGATGTAGAATTTTAAATTTCTCTTTCACCAATAAATATGTACAATTTTACAGTACAAGCCTCAGGGAGAATTCTGAAAAACAAAAGATAAAACTAAGCTCTTCTTGATACATGTGAGTACTTTTTGCTATATGGAATGTTAGGAGAGAGATTTCTGGAAACACATACTCTATCACACATACCATACCAACTCTCACCTCCCACACTTCTTCACTGCCCCCAGCTCCTCAAAGACAGCAGCTTACAGTTCAGCTTTCTTGGAAACATAAATATTAGCTTTTTCCTCTAAGACATCTCTTTCAAAACACACCTAAACTTTGGCATGAAAGTGCACAGTAAAGAAAGCATCTTCTGTGGAACTGAACACTTCTCCTTTACAAAATGTTCAACATCAGGTACAGCCCTAAATAATTCTGAAAGAGACTAGCATATCTCCCCCCTAATTCAAGCTCCCTTCTGCCTTAAGGATCTGAGCATCATCTGCCCTCTACTGAAGAAAAGCAATGAAGGAAAACTTGGGGCATCTGGTATCAGAACACAGAGTGGTCTCTGAAAGCATCTATTCTATCTCAGCCCCCTTAACATGAAGGAAGGAGAAAGAAAATCTATATGAGTGTCTGTTTCCTCTATCTAGAAATCTGTGTCATTCACTGGAGCAACGAATTTTGTAGGACACTGGCTTTAACTTCCTCACTCACAGAAAAAGCCTGAGAAGATGGATTTGGCTCAACTGTACAGCCTCTTGATTAAAAACCAGCCCTACTTCATCAAGTTAAGCACTACTAGTTTTTGCATTTCACTTTACAGAGACAACATATATATGAAAATAACAAAACAGATACTGAGACACAGACGGGAAGGGAAGAACTGAAGGTTCTTACACTAGTCTATACGTAGCTGACAGCAAAACCAAAAGCTTTGTTTACACAGCCAACAAAAGAACAAAATGTACTGCTGTGCAACACAGAAACAGGCCTCCAAGGTACTGCCACAAATGACAGTCATCAGGGCTATAAACGTGGAGCAACTGAAATTAAAGCTAGGCACACATGATTTGCAAATGATGCGCTATACTAATCTTTTAAGATTAGTAGCAAAACCAACAGGGATGTATATGAAAAGGTCATAAATTTAACAAGGTAAGACTGTAGGGAAAGGGGAGGTAGCTGAGGAGCTGCTCTTCCAGCTGTGCATACAAATCAGGCCGCCAAGACCCCTAGTGCCTCCTTTGCTAGGAAAACAGACAGGGGCTAGCTCTCCCACCAGGTGGTAGAGAATTTGCTTGTAATTTCTCTTTTCTGCTACCAGTGACATCTGCCTGGGTAAGCAAGAGTGAAGGAAGAAAAGTTCCTGTTTTCCCTGAAGCAGAAAGGATAAGCTGTGGGAAGCAGCTACATCTTGTTTAACTAGTAGTATTGCCATTCCAGCATGCAGAAATCCACTTCAAAGCTGGCCTCCAGCTGTAAACTACCATCTTTTAAGAAGACTGCAGGTGATGTCATTTTCTGACCGAAAATGGAACATGACTTACAAAAAGAGTGTTTAATACACTTGCAAATATATTGAGTCAATAAAAATATAACTGCATTAAAATGCTTATTTAAATGGAGACTACTTATCATCTTGACCACTTAATTTGTGTGTTAAATACCAGGATGAAACGAGTAACAGCAGTAGAAGTTCTGACAGAAAACAACGAAATGTTTCAGAATACATGAAACTAGAATGCTCAAAGGTTGGTAAAGCAACACAAGGTTATCGTTACCTCAGAAAGAATTGGATGGAAATTAGGAAGAAACAGGCTGAAGGACAGAAATAATTTCCAGAAAGCAAGTTACAGTCTGTAATTTAAATTGTGGATAGTCCATTGTTTCGATACTTAAACAAAACATACTGAGATCAGACAGAGAAAACTATTCCAATCTGGGAGATGAAAAGCTCACATATTTATTTCCGTAAACAGAAACTATGAGGCTATATTAAAATGTTTTCTTAGAAGTTTCAGGGGTTTTCAACCTAGTTCTTATGTGATTATTGAGTAGTAGAAGCCTGTAAATCTG